CCCCTGATTATGCCTGTTATGTTCCCAGTATTGTTCCCTCATTAGAAGGTATATGGTTAAGTCCCCAGTGGTGATCTGGCTCTGCTCTATAGGGGGAGGAGAGTCCCTACACCTCCCACAGTGCTTGTGCACCTGCTTTGATCCCTTCAATTGGAGAGGGGGTACCTTTTGGAGTACCACCCGGGTTACAAACACATAGGTCAAACATTTGTTCCTCTTCAGAATAGTGACCAATTTTAATGCAAAATGTTTATTTTGCTGGTAGTTCAGCATCTTATTTTGTTCAGTTCCCTCCCAATTCTTTGTCTAGGTCACCAAGGTGCCTTTGTAATGTAGTTTGTGTGACATCTTTCTATGTCCAGAGGCATAATTAGCAGGGTTTGTGCTCTGGGTAAACTGTGTTGGAGCATGGGAATGGAAGGGGAGGGAAGGTTCCACTGAGTGCTAGAAAGGAGGGAATGCTGAGACCAGAGGGAATTTTTACCTGCGTTGCGGGCTCAAAATGTCCCTGATTGCTGCTGCAGCAACATGGTTTGCCCATAGTGGGAGTGCTGGGAGCCAGGGGGTTTGCAGTGGCTACATGTCAGTTGCAACTCCTGTACCCCACTTTTCAAAATCCTAGATCCGCCTATGTTATGGGCCTTCCTATTTTAATGTCAGATTCATATTCACTGAAAAGACTAGGCCCAGAACTGTTTTCTTTCTATTACTTTTTATGATAAACACTAGTAAGAAAACTCAGTTTAGGTTCTCTGGAATGTCCTTATTTCACTTACTGCTTTGTTTCCAGTGAACCCCCAAATTCTTCCATAGATTACCTGCTTCTGAGATGCTGAAAACAGGTTTTATTATTTCTTTTGAAAGCTATTCATTCTTCAAATTCCCTCTTTTCCTCCCAAATTTCTTCTTACATTCCTTTTGCCACCATTTTTTCTCCTTTCCATTGGCTTCCCTTGGGCAGGGTTGTCTGTTTGGCTCAGATAACCTACCTTTAGCTTCCTGCGTGGTGAAAACCCCACAGTGCCTTCTGGGACACTCTTGTGGATGTTTAAGTAACCTGTAGGCTAAATTTAAGGATTTTCTTTTCCTCATTTTTTACTCTAGAGTATTTTAGAAAAACTTCTTTTTCTTGAAATCCCCTCTTTTAAAATGCAGTATTTTCATGCCAGCTTATGAACAATCCTTCCCTGAGGATATTTATTATGAATCATCATGTGATCACTATCACCTGGTGGGTCAATTATAGTTACTTCTTTAATTGATTTATGCATGCAGCACAGGATTGAGTTAAGAATAGCCTCTTATCTGGTGTGTCCCAGAATTAGCATTTCCAGGATACAATCATTTAAGGTGTCAAGAAGGTGCTGCGTTCATCACCTTTGTCTGCAGGGACAAGCGGTTGTTTTCTACAGTAGTCACCGAAGCTTCCTGTTCTGCTTTCTTAGACCTTGCTGTCTCTCTGACCTCCCCAAAGACCAAGTGCCCTGTACCAGTCCCTGAGCAGGAGGCTAGTACCATCACATGCTGGTGCCTGACCCAGGGCTGTCCGCACACAGACTTCACCATGCAGCTGTCTCCATTCCACATAGTCCACAGGCATTTGTAGCTTTCTTTCTGATCACATGCTATTTCTTTCTGACACCTCAGCAGGCCACTGTACTGCTTCTCTTGACTGTGCCTCTGGGCCCTTTGCCTGGCTCTGCTTTGGTCCCACTCTATTTTCTGTGCCACCCTTTCCTGGGTGCAGAGTGGATAATCTCCCACGACATATTAATGTGCTGGACCAGGGACCTGGTCCCCTTTGGCCAAAGCCAAGTTCAGCCTCAGGTACAGACTCCCCCTTCTTCAAAAAACCTCCCTAACACTGTATGCATTTAAATGCCTCCTCTTACAGTAGCATCTTGGGGTTGCTTCTGGCCCCATCCAGTGCCCTGTTTTGTGCACTCCCAGGAAGCACACTCACACATCAATTCCTTTATTGTTCTGGTAGCAATCACAGCAACAGCAGCAAATGCTGAACAACCTACAAGAGAAATGTCAATACAGGTCCAGAGTAAATGTAATTTGAATGGCCTCTGCACTGGCTCAGGATCCCACTCTCAGAGAGAATCCCAGCCTCACCCCCACCATGCTGCTGGCAAAGCCCCAGAGCTGTAGCTGTACTGCAGCACCCCTTCTGGAATTGGCTAGATACCAGGAAGTTGGGCTTCAGGTGCATTTCAGAACTGAGAGCTAATCAAGGCTGAGTGAACATGCCTGCCATGTCCTGGAACGGGACTCTCTTGGTTGTGCATCTGGCTGGGGAGAGAGGCTGAGAATCAGATAGGGGAAATAAGGATGCTAAGCCATTCCTCCACCACTGCAGATCCTGGGGATGGATAGAGGGATTCTGTTTGTGTCTTCCCAACTCTGGGCCATGCTAGTTAGAGTAACCCTTACTGTGCCTCCATTTCCAGGGCCACTTTAGGACCAGTGGCAGCAAAGGAATAGCCAAAGGCTAGGAGCACCCCATTTGTACCTCCTCCTTGCTTTGCCAAACCCTGGACATACCCTGAACCACTCCAGCCCCTGGGACTCTGTGGGGTGATGTGCTGTCACAGCCACCTCTGTGCCTCCTGGTTTGGGGGTGCTCCACATGGCCACCTCTGCCCAGGCAAAGCTCATCCAGTCTCCCTTCCCCAGCACATAGTCCATGTCCAGGACAGGTGAGGGCAGTTCTTTCACTCCTCAGCAGAGGACTTGAGTATGGATGGGGGAAAGCAGGAACAGCAGGGAAGCTTGGGAGGAAGAGCAATTCTCTCCCTTCCAAAGCAGGGCTCTGTGCATGTGGCAGTAGCTCAGGGCAGTTCTTTCTGCCCTGGCACAGGGCTGTGTGCATAGCAGGTGCTAGAACAATTTCCTGCTCCATGTACAAGAGAACACTAGGGACAGATCCTGAAGAAGACACTTCTACTAAGAGCACTGAAGACACAACTGCAAGTATGCCTGTGAGCATTGCTCGGCTCTTGCAGATGCAGGGTGATGGGTACCCAGTCCTACCCCAGTGAGAGATGTAAGGGAAAGGGGGGAAAGGAGAAGGCCGTCTCCAGTCCTGCTGGCAGGCACATGGCAGCAGGAGGCTTGCTCAGGCTTCATCATCACTGATGTGCATCCTCTCCTCAGATAGGTTGCTTTCGTCAATGTTCTCCAGGGAATCGGCATGCTGCAGGGACAGCTCAGCCAGACTGATGCTGGGCAGTGTGTTTTGCTCTGGGTACATCCAGGGCTTGAAGGTGGGGTTGTGCTTCCGTTTCCACTCTGGGTACTTCAACCCTGCCTTGTAGATCTTTTTCATGGCCTGGAAGGTCAGAGAAGACTTGGTCTGTCACAGATCCCCTCTCATTAGCATGGATGGGAGAGATGGGAGAAGCCTAGTGTGTCCCATCTTGTCCAACCCTAACAGGGTCCTGAGAGAAGTTTGCCATGCACTTTGCTTTCAAGGGCTTTGTGTAGTCTGTGTACACAGGGCCCCAGTAATGGGTCTTCATCACCCCTCAGGGAGATAGGGCTTTCTGGCCTAGGCAATGTCTTTGATGAGGATTCTCATGAGCCTCCCCTGCAATCCCAAGTGTAGGAGAGGTGTTAGGGAAAGGGGCACTGGGAGCTCTTACCCAGCTTTGCGCTGAAACAATGGTTCCCAATCTGTGGTACGTGTACCACCAGTGGTATGCAGACAACCTGTCGGTGGTACGCATTAACAGATTTATTATAATTACTTCATATATAAAAAATTTGCTGGTGGTACTTAAGGTTGTATTGTTTTAAATTGGTGGTGTGCAATCTGACAGAGTTTGGGAACCACTGGCCTAAAACATTTAGGTGCAGAGTGCTGGCTTCATCTGCTTGAAGATTTCTGGACTGGGGAAACAGATGAGGGATCATATCCTGGTTCCATGTATGCTGTGGAATTTTGCTTTTGCTCTCATACTGCTGGTCAGATCATCCCAGCTGGCTTATGCTCCAACAGATGGATGAGTAAAGAGACTGAGTCCCTTCCTCCCAGACTGTCTGGAGCCAGCTGAACCCACACACCCTCCAGGACAGAGAAAGGGAGAAGGATGGAAGCAAGGTGGAAAGCCTATCAGCCTCTGCTGGCAAGTCCTTCCTAGTGCAGACCAAAGCTGCAGTGAGTGCATCCTGGGGAAAGGGGAGCACTCATCTGGGCATGCACCTGCCATCACCTCAGGGCAATTAGCTGGCCATGCCCCTGGCCTTAACTCAGCCTGCACACTGCTTTCAGCCAGACCTGTACCCATGCCTCCCAGTGCTACCCACCTTTATTGTGATAGTTGCTGCCAGGGGTCGATCCAGGATTTGGCAAAGGGGGTGCAGGACCAGCCACCCATAGTGCAGCGGTGGCTCACTCTGGCACCCAGCCTTCTCACTCCCAACCCACCAGTGTGGGCAGGCTGCAATGAGGGAGTTTCTGGGAACTTTTTAAAGTTCCAAAGCAGGAAAGCATCTCCTCCTTCCCTGCCACGCTCAGAGACATTCCCTCCCTTCCCATTCCATCCATAGTTTCATAGTTTCATAGTAGCTAGGGTCAGGAGGGACCTGAACAGATCATCTAGCCTGCCCCCCTGTCACAGGCAGGAATGAATGCTGGGTTCACAAGACCCCAGACATGTGATCATCCAACCTCCTCTTGAATTTGCCCAAGGTAGGGGCGAGGACCACTTCTCTGGGAAGTTGGTTCCAGATTTTGGCCACCCTAACTATAAAATATTGCCTTCTGATCTCTAACCTCAGCCTATTCTCCATCAGCTTATTACCATTGTTCCTTGTCACCCCAGGTGGTTCTGGGGAGAAAAAGGCTCTGCCTATTTGCTGTTGATCTCCCCTGATGAGTTTGTAGGCAGCCACCAGGTCCCCCCTCAGCCTCCTCTTGCTGAGGCTGAACAGGTTCAGGTCCTTCAGTCTCTCCTCGTAGGGCCTGTCCTGCTGCCCTCTCACCAAGTGGGTGACCCTCCTCTGAACCCTCTCCAGGTTTGCCACATCCCTTTTGAAGTGCGGCGCCCAGTACTGGACGCAGTACTCCAACAGCGGCCTGACCAAAGTCACATAGAGGGGGAGTATCACCTCTCTGGACTGGCTTGAGATGCCCCTTTGGATGCATGACAAGGTATGGCTGGCCTTGCTGGCTGAGGTCTGGCATTGGCAGGTGCAGCACCCTGCATTTGTCTATGTTGAACCCCATCCTATTCTTGTCTGCCCACTTTTGTAGTCTGTCTAAATCTAGTTGCAGTCTCTTTCTCCCTTCAAGTGTGCCCACCTTGCCCCACATCTTAGTGTCATCAGCAAACTTGGACAGCATGCTTTCCCACCCCCTCATCCAAGTCAGTGATGGAGATGTTAAACAGTGCGTGCCCGAGGACCAAGCCCTGGGGTACCCCACTGCTCACATCTCACCAATTTGAGTACAGCCCGTCAACCACTACTCTCTGGGTGCGCCCCATCAGTCAATTTTTTACCCATCCAACTGTGCAGGCATCAATGCCGCAGTCGCTTAATTTATTGATGAGGATGGGGTGAGAGACAGTGTCAAAGGCCTTTTTCAAGTCTAGAAAGACTACATCCATGGCAACACCATCATCCAAGGATTTAGTTACTTGGTCATAAAAGGCAATCAGATTGGTCAATCCCCTCCTCCTCCAGTTGTTGCTGCTTCTTCACTGTCCTGGGGGTGGGAAAATCTTTAGAGCTGCTTCTGCCTGCTTCAGCTGGGCTGCATGGGGGCTGGGCTTAGTTGGGAATAGCAGCAACTGCAGTGAGAAGGGGTGGGTTCTTTTACACTGCTCGGTCCCCGCAGGAGCAAGCCACTGATGCTGTCCCTACCCAAGGCGAGCCCAGCCCCTGTGCAGCCTAGATGGAGAGGGCAGGAGCAGCTCTGAAGATTCCCCAGCTCCTGGGACAATGGGGAAAGCAGCCACAGCAGTTGCGGAATGGAGGAAGGGGAGGGGGGGATGTGCCTCTGGGCATGGAAAGGAAGGAGAGGATTCTTCCCAGAGGCTGCAGCAGCACAGTCCAGTCCGAAAGTGGGGTACAGCTGTGCCACTGCACACCCTCTGGATCCACCCCTGGGTGCTGCCCACACCCCTACTTACCTTTGGTGCCACAAACTGGGAAACTTTGTTCACCACCCACTTTGGTAATGAGCCTAGAGAGAAAGCAGAAGCACCAGTTACTCACCTGGCCAGTGACAATGCTTTGAAGGAAAGACAGCCTTCCCTGGGTCATCCAGGTCTTCTTCATGGGCATCTGCAGGGGCTGCCTATCTCCTGAGGCACTTGGGTATACCTCCGTCTGCCAATCCATCAGTACTGGATAGGCAAATATGGACTAGCATAGGGATGGGCAATTATTTGGGTTGGAGAGCTAATTAAAGAGTTTTGGTGAGCTGTTGTGGGCCAGGGGAAGGGATGCAGACCTGGTCCTGCAGGGCAATTAATTCTATCCAGCCCATGTGCCCTGCACTCACCATTGGGGGTGCCAAACGGAGTGGGTGGGCAGGGTCTCCATGGAGACTGGCTTGAGACCCCCATGAGCAAGGCATGGTCAGGCAGGCAAATGGGATGGGATGGGGCCATGGATGGGTGGGCAGCAGTATCCAAGAGTGGGACAGGTGGGTGGGGAGGTGACAGTGTGGGGCCAGGAGTGGATTGTGGCTCTGTTCTGGGCCCCAGTCATAGACCCCAGACCCTGCTGTCACTGCCCTGTGAACCTGGCCCCAGTCCTGGCCCTGGCCACCCACGTGCCCATCCTGCTCCCGGATGCCACTTCCTGCCTGCCTGCAGCCCCATCCCATCTGCCCAGCCGAGTGCTCCCTGCCTGCGGGGGTCACAGGCTGGAATCCATGGTGATCCCGTCCACTCCAGCCAGTGTTCCTGTGGCAATGGGTATAGGGTGGATGAGCCAGGGTGCCCAGGCAGTGCACTGGTGGCAGATATGCTAGGAGCAGTCACTCACCTCACCACCCCTGCCCTGCTGTGTACCTGAGGGCAGCAGGACTGTCCATTTGCACCCATCCTGGGCTGCAACCTATTTCTGGCCTGGGCAGGGCCGAGGAACCCACTGTGGGCCAGATAAAATCCCTTGGCAGGCTGTATCCAGACCGTGGGCTGTATTTTGCCCACCCCTGGACGGGCCCTTCTGTTCCAGGCAGTGGAGTCCCATTCCTGTATTCCCTCAGGTGGCTGGTCCCATCACACTAGGTCTCTAAGGTATTGCCGGCACTCCTTTTCTCTCCTAATCTTCCATTGATACAAGTTTTCCTTGTGCAGCAATATTAGGAGCTGTTGTATAGACAGGGCTCATAGCCAGAAGCAACAGATACCCACTGGGTTACTCCACGTAAACCACATGGTTCATGGCCAAGGCTGTTTGTGCTGCCCCACCTGTGAGCTCCATGGGGCACAACCTAGCTCTAAGGATGGCAGGTAGTTCAAATGTGCCCAGACCTGATGACTGGTATCTGCTGGGCTTTCCTGGGCTCTGGACTTGCCAAGCTGGGCCGGCATGTGGCACTTACCTCGGGGGTCCACCTGGGTGAGGTAGTAGAGGATGCAGCTGTTGGCTCCATTTGACTTGATCAGGTAGCCTGTCTGCAGGGACACGGCTCTCACAAAGTCCTTCCGGGGTGGGTACTTCTGTGGAGAGACATCACACACCTCAGAACCTGCCACCAGACAGAGCCCTGGGCCAGCCCCACCATGCCGGCACACATCTACCCTGTGCTTTGATATGTGCTGTACCCCTTGTGCCTGAAAGGTAGGCCTCATAACCTCACATCACCTACCACACACGGGTCATTTCCAGCCAGTGTTGCCCAGCACCCTTCCCAAAGCCAAGAGGCCAGTGCCCCAAATCAGGCCTTAGAAACCTGCTGAGTTTTGGGGGGTTTTTTTAAGGAAAATTTTTCATATTCCAAGTCAAATCAGCCAAATCAATTCCAAATCTGTGAGTCATTCAAGAGCCATATATGGCCCTGCTACTGGCAAACATCCTCCACCACCACCTGGGGCTTCAAATGCTTCCAAATCATTTGGTGGACATCCTATGTGCAGGCCCAAGCCTGGAGGCTTGGGGTTCAGAGGTCCCTGAGTTTCTCTCACCCTCAGCCATATGGCCACAGAGCAAGCTAGGGAGGAGTCTTCTATTTCCATAAAGTGGGCATAAAGCCAAGATCTTCCCACTGGAAATGGAAGTGCGAGGTTAACTATACATTACCTCTGCCCAGGTACTACTCCTTGCCAGAAAAGCAGTTATCCCCACCTTAGTGGTCCCACCTTAGTGGTCATGGTGCTTCCCTGAGTGGGTGGCAGGGAGGTTCAGTGTGGCTCACCGGATGCTTGACACTGTAGTTGATGATCATGTAGTCATTGCCAAGGGGCAGCCAGGAGCGCAGGGTGACAAAGTCCCTGTTCTTCAGGGGGCTTGGACATTTCCCTGCAATGTAGAGAGGCTGTTACTAACTAGGTCCGCCTGGGAAGTCTCACAGAGTTTCTCAAGGGTCATGCTCCCCAGGAGACACTAGCTATCACCTGTATACCTTCCCCTGACAATCCCCCCCAGGGACCCAGACCTGTGTTCACTGACACAGCTGGGGCCAGGCCATTTGCCTGACAGATAAAGGAGAGGTGGGCATGAGGATGGAGCCTGGGGGAAGGGGGGGATGTTGCAGGTGTCAATGAGCTGTCTCCCCAGCATGAGGGCTGCTCACAGGAGTAGTATCCCACGTCGGCATTGACTGTCAGGCGCCCAATGTCGTAGGTCTCGATCATGTTGGAGTCCCATTTTTTGCGGTAGTGGGTGTCATGCAGCACATCATAAAGCGTTTCTGCAGAAACATCTTTGCAGGAGATCCGCATCTGCAGGGGGAAGGCTGCAAGTCAGACTTCTGAGCTGTAGGAGAGAGAGACCAAGAAGCACCCCGGACACCTCCAGGAACTCCTGGAGAGTGTGCTACAGGTGGAGGTGCAAGTGGTCTGAATGTGTGCATGATTGGCAAGTGCAGGTGTCAGGTCTGTGTCACTGCCTTATTATGGATATATATGACTGAGCATGTATGTGTCAAACAGGCTGTTGCATATCTGTGTATCATGGATATGAGTGACTGTTCATTTTTACTTGCTTCATAGATGCATATGTGTGTGTGTGTGTGTGTGTGTAAGTGTTTGGTAGGTAGAGTAATAGGAGACAAATGGAGTGTTGGCTTTGTTACTTAGCTCCAGTGACATTACTTGGGTTGGGATTCTCAAGGTCACATAGCAGAAGCTGGAATTAAATGTGTATTAAAAATGCCAGCTCCAGCTAAATGTCTGTGTTGAGCACAGCCAGAGCAGGGCTGCAAAGCGCACTCTGGGGAAAGAGCCTAGCCCCTGGTGAGGACTACTCTGCCTTTCACTGGACATCTGGCCATTCCCTCTGGACACTGTGGCATCCATCAGTAATGACCACCTCTGACCCTCTGTGGCCCTGATCACATGGCCAGCACTTGTCCTTCAAGCAATTCCTGCTACCATCACCTGCTCAGCTGCTGTGTCCCCAGAGCCTGTAACTGTTTTTTGTGATGTGTTTCACTATTGGTGGCTGAGTGGACAAGAGGCATGTGTACTGGCAAAACAGTGTGTGGGGGACTGAGTCTTCATGAAGCTCTGCCCTTTACCTGAAGAGTCTGATTTTCTGCTGTTTCCTTGAGTTCTCTGACTGTGTGCTGCTGACCAGCAGGCTGGAACAGGTGTCCCAGGGGTCCTGAAGATGGATCTTGGTAGCTGGAGTACTTAGGGCACCCCACTACTGAGTCTGAGCTAAAAGAGTCATCCTGTATCTCAGGCAGTGCTGGATGTACCAGGCATGGAGGCCCTGGTCTCAGGCGCCATGGTTCCTGACCCACACAGGAATGCAGTTGCACAGGCATTTTTCAACCCTCTCTGCTATAAGTAGCTGGGAAGGGAGGAAGCTGGTGCACTTCCAGCTACGGTGCAGAGAGCTCACAGTGGGAGCCCTGGTTCCATTCTGCCCCTTCCCACTGCCTGGGGACCTGGCCTCTGAGCTACTGTAGGGAGAGGAAATCTGGGGGCACTGGCTTACTCTGTCTCAGGAAGGCATGGAAATTGAGCACCCCCATCAGGTCCTTTATACAACTAGCACGTTCACTGTGCTGGTGGGGTCTCTCCAGGCTGCCTGGGGCTGCCAGACCACTTGCCTGGGAATATCTTGTTCTGCCCTGTGCAAAGGGCTATCTATCACACCTCAGAACAAGGGGCAATGAGTAGGGTGTAAGAGTCAGGGGCACTAAGGATGAAGATGCTGCTGGCACTGGGACTTTTATGCCCCTCACTTTGCCCACACCAGTCAACTATTTGTGTCTGCAAAATAAGCAAGCTGGTTCTCTCATTGTTCTGTCCAAATCACACCCCAGAGCAAGCAGGCTAGGACAGGGTTGGGTTTCTCTCTCCATGCCACAGACTGTGTTTGTGGTAAGATTAGCCGGACCCTGTGAGATCCTTAGTAACCAAAGCCATTAACCTGGTAACCCAAGCCACAACCTAGTATCAAGTCCTCAAGGGAGAAAGTACATTATTGATGAACTTTTACCCAGCCCCAGCTCCTCTCAGCACTGGCTGTCTGCAGCAAGCTGGCAGGAAGAAGTCATCCATTCCTCATTAGAGGCCTTGCATTTTTGATGAGGTGCTCAGCAGATGCTAAGTAATTAGAGACTGCTCTTTTTATTCTGCATTTTTCCTTTTTATGCTCATTTTTCCTCCCCCCTGCTAATCTCTGACAGGCTGTCCCAGATTGCCCCAGCAGCCATGTCAACAACACCAATGTGGCCCTGATTGCCTGAAGATCAGATGCCCAAAGACAACACTAGTGAAATATTATCCTTTTTTCTCTTTCCTTATGCCTTCTGCTCAGACTCTTCCAGGTGATGGGATGACTGTGCAGACTGCTGACTACCCCAGCAGCATGCCATTTACTGTGTGCCCCAAAAGCACCGCAGGGTACAAGGTAAAGGCACATCTACAATGGAGGACCTGTCCCCTGATCTCTCTCCTCTGGCATTTTGGTTGTGGAAGAGGCCAGTGCTAGATGCTCCAGTGGAAATTTCCATAATTCACCTGACCATCTATGTGACTGAAGAGTATTTGGTCAGCACTATACTTGAAAGGGAAACATGCAAGAGAGGGAAGGTGGGGCTTCCGGTCCCCAGCTCAGCACCTGTAAGTGTTAGGTAACTGCCTGACTTGAATTTTGGCCTTAGTAGAGCTCAGATAGGCTCCAAGCATAAAACAAATACACCCCCCCACCCAACTAAAAGTGCTTCTAGGACATGGATTAAAGAGCTGGAAAGCTGTGAGGGACGTTTGGAGTTTCAGCAGTTCCTACCCATAATACCCCCACTCCCTGTCCAAAAGAAATGTCTTGGTCTCCAGCTGATAGCTATAAGTCCGTCCATGAAGATCTAAGGGTGCATCCAGTCACCTCTTGTGAGTTGCTGCCCAGTCACCTCTTGTGAGTTGCTGCTCTCCAGCAGACTGCATGAACCCCCAACAGCAAAGTATATCAGCCTCCTTGTTCTTACACGCTGCACAAGAACACCTGCCCCAGCTCCCATCTTGCTGAAGCCAGGAACCTCAGTGTATTTTCTGCTCCCTGGTCTGTGCAGCACAGAGTAGGTATCCTACTGGGCCACTCTCACTATTCCCAAATGACTGTAGAATCCCTCTGCAGAATTATCCCCATCATTGATACACGTGGCAGAGTCCGCAGGCCCTGAGACGCACTGAGACTATGGTCAGGAAAGTGGGGGCTGTTACTGGGTCAGAGAAGTGGAGAGCACCTTACCCTGCCTGAGGAGGTGTATGAGCAGCAATATAATACAAGTGCCAGGATCCAGGTGTCTGGCAAATCTCCTGGATCTTGGGCTTAGGGGTTTATTAGTTCTGTATTCTAGCAACCTGGTGCTACTGTGATGGGGTTTTTTTCAATCAGTGTCTTCTGTACATGGACGGCTGCATGGGCTCCCTATCCACCACACCCAGAGACTGCAGATCAGGCATGCTCAGTTTGCAAGTTTGCAGGACTTTTTCAGCAGCCAGTGCATCAGATTCCTCCTGAGCTCTGACGGTCAGTGGCTCTTTCCTCCTAAGCACACCACAGTCTGGAGGCCGAATCAGGCCCTCAGTGTTGCCTGTGGATGCTCCTTCCCTTTGCAGAACATGCACAGATTGACACTTAGGATCTACTTCTCTAGAGGTTACTGGACTACCAGGCCCCCAGCTCCTCCAGCTACAAAACACCCAGGACCATTGTGATTGGGAGGCAGCAGTCCGAGCAAGTTTTGGGAAGGATTGCAATGATGTGAGAGCAGAGAAGTGTTGCCTCAGTCTCATGGAGCCACTGGGGTTGTGGGATACCCGACTGCGGTGCATCTTCCAGAGCAGCAACAATAGTTATGACTTCACAGTCTGGGTACTTATGTGGCCCCAGTTGCTAGGTTATCTGATGATAACCTCACTGTCTTTAGCCATGCTGTGGGAGGCAGGACATGCTCTTAGTTCCTTTGTACATATTAGAATCAAAGTCTGCAGGGTTAAAATGCCTCCTGGGGGACAGGAATCTCTACATTTGTGCTCCCTTTCTCCCCTGCCACAGAACGAGCAGCAGGATATTAAGGGTTGGGTTTGCATCATTAATAACAACATTTTGTAAATGTGCTCTGTTCTTGAAGCAAGGATTTCTTAGGGTGATATCTTTAATTGGACAAACTTCATAGTTGGGATAGAGTTAGACAAACTTCATAGTTGGGATAGAGTTAGACAAGCTTAGAGTTAGTCAAGACATTCTTTATCAGGTCTGGGGAATAGTTCCTGACAGAAAAAAAGCCCCTGCCCAGGAACTGCCCAGAGCTGCCAGCTTGTTACCCATCTGTTGTTTTTGTTGCAATGGCTTCAGCATCCTGCCAGGGTCAACCTCATGAGCTGATATCTGGCTACCTTGGACCATCCAGTGCCATGCCACGGTACCAGCTCTGTCCAGGTATCCTCACCACTGGTAGTGCCCTGCCCCAACTGGAAGAGCAGCTGTGCAGCGTATTTCTTAAGGAACTCAAGGAGGTTAATAATTTTTATTAAACAGTGAATTAACAGGCTCTGCATGTGAGCTCCTGGGAGCCTCCCTAGACTCCTACACAACCCCTCACTCACAGGATGGAGCTCATGCTGCCCAACTGAGCAGGAGCTGAGCAGCTGCAAGCTCCCCAGGGCTCAGGGCCAAAACCCTCCTAGGAACATTCTGGCCCTCCTAGAGAATGAAGCCTCCGACTAAGAGGCAGCAGTTTCCAGGGACTTCTCCCCACAGGGTGCAGAAGGTCAGTGACTGACTGACAGCTGCTCCCCAGGGTCTGCACTTCATAGGCCTTCACAAAGCACTCTGTTCCTACAGGACTGTAGCCCATTCTTCCTAACACATAATTCATTAATGATTGAGCTGCAGCCTTTGCGCACACAGCCAGTGTTCACTGCAGTTACAGGAGCTGGGAAGAGAGCAGGATGCTGGATCAGGTAAGGGGCTTTGGTTACTGCAATAATGATAGTAAGAGCAAGACTCTACAGGTTTCCGATGAGCCCAAGGTCTCAGCAGGGCCCCAGGACCACCCCTCATCTCTCCCTGGGCATGCTTTTCACGTGCACCTGGTTAACAGGGACCTCCGAAATGTATCAGCAAGATCTAGCACTCAGAGCAGCCCACAACATCTGGCTACTCCAGAGAATGTAGCACCTCTGGGATTGCTGCTCATGTCCTGGGAAGGAGGCACCAGCCACCTAGCTCTGCGACATTCACCCAGGCTCATGCCCTGGCTGGCAACTCATGTGACCTGCAGGAGAGCAGAGGCAGTGTAATCTTCCCCTGTCCTGTCCCCATAAATTTGCTCCATGTGTCATATGCTGCAGCAATAGACACCTTTTTCTTTATATCCTGGGCCTCTTCTGTGCTGCTAGAGCTGGGCTTGGACATTGCTTCAGCAATGTACAGTACAGTAAATGTCTCAGCCCTAGAGATCGAGATTTGGCTCTCAAATGCTAAATGATCAGATCTGTGCTGTGCTAAGCAGAGCACAGATCAGGCCAGCTAGGTTCTACTGCCCCTGGTTAATTGTTGTTATCCTTCTTTCTGTTACTCACCTCTTGAGTCACTGCTTATCCTCTCCAAGGCTCCACCTCTCATGACTCCTTGCTGCAGCCAGCACATGGCACCCCTTTAAGTCCTAGGTTCTAATAGGGTTTGAGGAGGAGCCAGAGGCGCTCATGGTGACTGTTGGGTAAGGAGCCAAGGGGAAGCCTGGCTGACAGGATGAGGCAACACATTGCATAGGCAGCAGGTGGGAAGCCCTTTTTGCAGACTTACAGAGAGCATAAAGGCCAAGTGTTCAGGATGGCAAGTGCTTAATTGCATGAGTGTCTCTGCTGTGAAGTAGGCCCAAGCATGGATCAAATTTGTACTGGGTGCAGAAAGGTCAAGTTAACTAATGCACTTTGGAAAACTGGCCTGAAATAAGTACTGTTAGACCCCAGAGCTCTGTATGATCCTGATCTGAACTGATGTTGAGATGGTGTGGGGAACCATAGGTCTGCAATTTCCATGGGCTGACTCTAGTAGGGGGATGAGCAATCCCAACTCACAGGCCAGCTCTGGCTCAGAGTGCTAGGGAATGAAGACAACAGCTGCTGTATATCCTCCTCTGGGTAGTATCACACCCAGAGTGCATGTGGCCACAGAGATGGTGTCTGTGTGGAGGGAGCCTTGGGCTTGTACGGAGAAGGGGAATAGTGTTTGTGTGGAGAGGATAGTATATGTGTTGGGAGAGGTGCATGGTTATACACAACACAGCCTTGGGTTCATTGTGGAGCAATTTATGGACTGAGTAGCTGCATCACTTAACAAACACTGGGCTTTGATTCCTAGCTTGGCCAGGTCCCCACTTCTCTCTGGTTTGTTGGCTCCTGAGAATGGGTGGACATGGGTGGAAATGTTTCGGATGTTTTGGAATGTTTCGGAGGTGCCCCTGGGAATAGTCCGGCACAGCCCCACAGACCTCCTTTTAAAGTGCTGGGGCTAGATAGGGAGTGGGGCCAGGCAGGGCAGCCATGGGGGCACCCCCATGCAGTGTGGGGCAGTGGGGATCACCCCCCTCCAGCCTGGCACCTATGTGGCAGCTGCCCCATGGCGCAGGTGCAGTGTGGCTCGGCCAGGTGCTGTGGGGCTGTCTGGGTGCTGGGGTCCCTGGGGCTAAGCAGTGCCAGGCTCCAGCTGACTGCTCAAGCCACCCCAGATCTCAGACAGCGTGCAGCGCCCTGCCAAGCCACACTGCATCCATGCGATGTGACAGTTGCTGCATCTGCTTCCTACTGCCCCGTGCTGCACAGGGGGGCTCTGCTATGATTCCCCCAAAAGCCCCAATTGCTGCAGCTGAAGAGTGCAGGGCTTTTTTTTTTTAAAAGTGCTGGGAGGCTGGGGATGGCCGGGGGATGGGGCCGGGCAGGGAAGCCATGGGGGCTTCTCCTGCACCTACCCCTGCTGGGGCAGAGGCAGGCACAGCTGGATCCTACTGCCCCGTGCTGCACAGGGGGGCTCTGCTATGATTCCCCCAAAAGCCCCAATTGCTGCAGCTGAAGAGTGCAGGGCTTTTTTTTTTTAAAAGTGCTGGGAGGCTGGGGATGGCCGGGGGATGGGGCCGGGCAGGGAAGCCATGGGGGCTTCTCCTGCACCTACCCCTGCTGGGGCAGAGGCAGGCACAGCTGGAGGAGCTGTGAGAGAACCTGCAGCTGCATGGCTGTGCCTGCCTCTCCCCAGCTGATCCGAATCTCCAAATCAGCACCGAAACTCCAAAACAGATTCGACCGAATCAAAATGGAACACTGATCTGAAACACTGAAACGAATCACTGTCCTCCAAAACAGCCGAATCCAAAATTGAAACAAAACATAGCTATTTCGCATAGCCCTATTAAATAGCCCTGAAGAAAGATCCAGGCTCTGGTACAACCTGGATACAGGCAACCCCCCACTTAACACTGTTTTGCTTAGCGCAATTTTGCTATAACGCTCATGTTAAATTGGTACCTGATTTCATTTGGCACTCAGCGAGTTTCGTTATAACGCTCGTGGTTGCCACCTTGGGTCATTAAAAACACTTGCAGTTGCCATCTTGGGTTGTCAAATACTTTCGGTTTCACTTAATGCTGGTTTCGCTTAACACTGGGTTTTTCAGAAACCCATTAAGAGTGCTAAGCGAGGGTTGCCTGTAGTTACAAGCCACACCCCACCCAAATATCTGGTGTCTGTAGAGGCTCGGAGACACCTACCTGCCCATTTTCACACTCCTGATGTGGCCCTAGAGCTGGATATTGAGGCATGGGAGCCTTAGGCTCAGACCCAGAATGCAGTATAGACACTCTCGGGCCCATGGGATGGGATCCTTTGTTATTCTAATAGAGAGAAAAATTTAACCCTATAATTACCCCCTGCTCTTTGCACTACACAGATCTTGCAGCCCTGGGAAACAGAGGGGAAAAGTGATGAGGCAGCCAAATCCACTAAGGTTTTTCATTCCAAATTAGAGAAAGGAGGAAGGCAACCAAACAGCAGATACCCAGAGTTCAACCAGGCTTTCTGTCTGAACAAGGCACAGTGCCAGTAGGGGGAGGTGGGAGGGGAAGGTAAAGCCACAGGTGTAGGAATTCCCACCAGCTTTAAAACTACATTACAGGTGTCAGCATAGATGAGCTGAGTCCTGTTTGCAATGCAGATGTTATGTTTCACTCCTGTGGGCTCATTAAGGGGCCAGATTTCCAGCCTTACTCGCAAGTAGAATTTGCTCACCTGAGTCAAGTTAAATTTCTACCAAGCCAAAGAGCCCACAGGACTAGCATAATGCATACCGGTCCCCATAGCCAGTAGCACACAAGGGAATAATGTAGCTAGCATCCCATCTGGCCACCTTTGACTCTCCAGTCTGAATGTCCAGTTACCCTAAGATGTTTTAACTGCTCATTCATCAGAGCCTGGCACTCCTTTGTGTAGCACCTTGGAAATCAGTAGGACCTTGAGTAGAAGAGGACCTATATTTGCTTATTGGTACGTGTACAGATTGGCACTACTGATTGGGTACAGGCTACCATGTCTCTAGTTCTAACATGGGATCAGGTGTGTCCAGAGCAACAAAAGCTCAAACTACCTGTGAACAGGTGCTCGTTAGAAAGTGGGATCAGACTACTTTCTTAGTACAGCCCCTCTTCCAGGCTCCTTTGGGGATTCTGAAGTTTCATAACAGAAGCAGCTCTGGTAGAATAAGTGACCATGGGGCTTCCCCTTCTCTGTGTCCAGAAACCAAACACAAAAAGCACAGGCATGTGTATGTATGTGTATATGTGTTTGCAGAAACAAGTAGTACGTAAAATCATAGAAAGTGAGTGCTGAGCAGGCTTAGTGAAACAATTCAAGGAAGATTTGTACACAAGAAACACCCGAAGAGACTGGAAGGAGGTGGTGAAGCCCAGGATTTGGGGTTGCCATGTCTACACAAAACTTCTCTACGGGGAGAAGCTGGAGCCCCCCTGCCTGAACATCTGAGAGTGGGTGACCCATTCTGCCCCCTGCAGCTAGGCTGAAACGCCTGTTTTATGCAGACATGGATGGGAGGCAAGTGGCTGGAAGTCTGCAGCAGGCAGCATTTGATACACGACCCCCACCCCAGAGTGATAAGCAAAAATCAGGCCTTGAAAAGCAAAGGGAATAAAGCATGAGAGTGAGCATGTTGGGGTCCCTCGGGCTGGACACAGACTCACTCCCCTGTCACTGGACTCTGGCAGGGTCTGCCCCAGGGTCTTACCTTGATCTTCTGCACCGTCCTGCTCTCCTGCTGTCCATGACTCCAAACTGTCACGCTGCCTTTGTTGTACTGGCAGTGCCAGCCCTCAGATTTCTCACACTGGTCCCTGAATGAGCTGAAGTCAGAGTCATCCGGGATATATACTATCTCCCCTCCTCTGGACATGGAGATGACCTTTGTGGGACCTTCAGTGACAAGGCCAGCAGGTACCTGCCACCAGAGTGGAGAGAGGGTTCTGCAGCACCAGTCAAAGGAAGGATCTCTCTGCTTGGTCACTTTGGAAACTTCGGACTGCTCTCTTGGCTCTGCCCAGCTTTGCCCTTGAGCTGGCTGCTCTCTGGTGCTGTGTCCCTGACCTAGTTCACACTGTCCCCCTCATTCCCAGAGCTCTAAAGCCATTCCTCCCCTCTCCTTTTGGTAGGTGCTGTCCACGGATCCCTTTTTTCCACGACCAGGAGACCCTATTCGGGCAGCTTTTGGGTTTGGAGAGCTGCTGCTGCTCTGACTTTGCTTTCAATAGCCTGCACTGTGCAGAGTAATTAGCAGGAAGGCTCCTTCTCTGCAGTTGTTAATGCAGCTGCTGGGAGCTCAGATGTCTTATCAGCTCTGCCTACCAGGATCACATTCCCTGGCCAGCAGGATCTCTGCTCCTCTATTATTCAGCAGGTAACATTGCACAGTGTCTCAGCTTTCTGGCCAAGCTGCCTCTCCAACCACCGGCCCCTGCCTCTCCTGTGTCTGCGTGCTCCCCTCACTCCCTGGCTTCTGTCTGGCAATCTCTGTGTTTGACTTTGCAGCACTGAGTTACAGAGTCAGCTGATCACTTGCCAAGAGCAGCGGTCAGGATATCTAATAGAATGGGCCTCTGTTGCTGCAGGACCCAAGCCATTCATGTCAAAGAGGTGCCTGGTGTGCCTCAGCACGCTGCAGGATCACATCTGTCCAGGGACAGTTGGCAGGGTCAGGCAATGGGGTCAAGGCCCAGGCTTTCTGCTACCAGGATGGTGCTCTGTGAGAGTTCTTCAGGGTGTCAGGAGGAGGGTCTGGAACTGCAGCCAGGAAGCACTAGGGCACCCTGCCCAGGCTGTGGGTCCAGACATCCTGCCCAAGTCTGGTGGTGCTATATCTCAAAACATCTCCTGAAAGGCTGGGGCCTCAGGGCCACAAGACAAGGACCAGTAAATCCCCAGCTCTCCTAAGTGTAGTACAGGGATTAGACGTGACCAGCATTAACCCTGAACTCAGACAAAACTGAATTAGAGGAGCCCCCTGAACTTGACAGGAGCCTGGTGGCAGCACTTCCAAACTGTCCTCCAAGCAGGTAGTGTTCTGAAGAAAACTGAAAGTGCCTGGGGTACTGGGCCCCACAACACATTTGGGGAGTGTGAAG